TCGGAGCTTTTCGTATAAATTGGAATCCGTAAAATGTTTTACCGGCAAGTGTTGTTGGATTTTATCGGATTTATTCGAAAACGCGAAATTGATATTGGCAATATTTATCTGGGACCTTTTTTCCTAGTTTGTACTTGGGACCATTAGTTCCGGAACCATTTGTTCCGGGACCATTTATTCCAGGACCATTTATTCCGGGACCATTTGTTCCGGGACCATTTGTTCCGTTTCCCGCTAACAGATGTTGGTATCTGCTCCAAAAGCGTCAGTAGCTGCTCCAAACTAATATTTTGCCTGCTACAGAACCTGCCACAAAAAGTCAAATGCCACTTTTATCACTGGTAATGTCAAAATACTAATATACTTTAACAGGTGGCCCTTGATGTCACACTCCTGCGGTGGCGCTGGTGTCGGCACGTCGCAATTGGGCAGACGCTTCACGCAAATCGCGGTTTTTGCGCATGCGCAGGGCCAACACCTGTTGTGGACAAAGGCAGACTTGTTCGTAAGCAGCGTGTCGATTTATACCCAACAAATATTGCACTTTTTTGCTCCACGAGATGGCGTAAGCTGGTTTATTATTTTTGCGAATGCGGATAAGAGTCGAACTTTACTCGAATGTTTTGTCGAACTTGACACTTAAAAAGTTTCGACGACCTCGAACCTGGTCCCACCGGAACCAGGTTCGCGACACAACCCTCTGTGTTATGTTGGTGGACAAACAATGAGAAGGAACTTGTTCTCGATGCGGATCGAGACGACCCTCGGGGGAGAGAAGCGTGCCGCCGCTTTGTTTGGAATGCTGTTCTTCCGGGATAGAAATAAAACAACCGACTACTTCTTGGATAAAGATGGGCGACCTGCGCGGCGATCCGGAAATAATAGCCAAGGATTTCTTAGCTTGTTTGCATGCGGGGGAAACTATACGCTTGTTGGAGATATAAAGCCCTCGTCGTAAGCGCTTTTTTTTTTCCTTTTTGTATGGCCTTTCACGTTTATTTATCTTTTTTTTTTTTTAGAACGTTATCAATTGACTTTTGTTTGCGACCGTGTACCCCAACTCATGTTTCCGACGTAACGATAAAAAGAAAGATGGAAAGCAAAAAGAAAAAAAAAAGTATATTTTGCGCGAAGCACGTCGCTGCTTACTCTGAAATGAACCGTTTGCGGCACTTACTGTCAAATGAACCGTTAACAGAACTTACTCTCAAACGAACCATTTACAGAGCAGGACACAACTGGCACTAACGTGCGTTTTAATTTTTTTTCTTCCTCTCAAGTTTGTCTTTTTTTTCCTCTTTGTTTTACCGTTCGACAGGTGCAGTGGAGACAAGAGCAGCTACATATAGTTTTGCATCTCCTTCCCTAATCCTTAGAACCAGCTAGAGTTCGGTGTTCTCTCCGTGCGCTCTCGTCTCTTCCTCTCCCTCAACTTCTGCCCGCATAGTTACTGACAGGACTAGAACGGCAGGGAGGTCCTTTAGTCATCTTGCCTCCCGCTCGAGCTTTCCATTTTGGCCAACGATTGAGCGTCTTGCCAGCATCGAGCGCGGGCACACAAAATACGCGGGCAGGCAGCGAGCGCATGTTGGATGTCAGGCACAGTTCTCGCCCTGTCAACAGTGCTTAAAGTTAGGGAGTCACGGGGGGTCCCGGATTACCCTCCCCCCCCCCCTCACACGCACAAACAATTTTGACGGGTGGTCACCCTTGTCATAACCCCAGTGACAATGAGACCATCACCATGTCTACTAAGTGTTGCAATGAGACAATCGATTTTCGAGCAATTGAAGCTCTATGGTTTAGACCAGTGTTTTCTGAACTGCGGGTCGCGACACCAAGGGGGGGGCGGGGGTCACCGCCCACAGATTGAGCGGGATTTCGCGAAGCTGCTCGGGTCGCTTCGCGAACCCCCTTTTGAAAAACTTGAAACTTGAAAAAAATTGAAACATGAAACTTAAAAACCTGGATGAAAAAAAAAGTGATCTTGGTTTTTTTGCGGTTGCGTCAATGAAGGCCAAGTACGTGTCGCGGGTGTAGGACAAAAATTGTCCCGGACAAAATGGTCCCGGACAAAATGGCCCCGGACAAAATGGTCCCGGTCAAAATGGTCCCGGACATAATGGTCCCAAGCTCAAGCCCGGACAAAATGGTCCCAAGCGATTTGTCGACACTTTGGGCGCTCTTTGAAGTTTTAGTTAACTGCTGCTATGAAGGTATATTGAACACACGTGTAATATGTACTTTAATATATTTAAGGTTTTTGCTCTATACATTTGAGGAAATAACTAAAGAAGTCCGAAAGTTAATTAAAGTTATATTATTGCTCACTTGGCTCTATGGCTCCTCTTAGCCTTAGTCAGAGCACTGTACAAAGCTGGCGCTTGGAAGTCACCACGCAAAGACACGTGCGCACACTAAAAGCGCAACGTCGCGATGCACTCTGCGATTCATTGGACTAGCCGGTAATAACATGCACAAAAAAGTCGACGAATGCCATCGGCGCGTTTTGTTTTCAGTACTGCTTGATTTGTCCTATCAGCTCGTAGCATTGGCTGCACTGTGACTTTAGTAAAACGTAGTGTAGGTGCGAGAAGAAAATAAGAAAAATCGGCAGTATTTTATATAATTTCAAATCAACGCAATGGCGCTGCAAGAAAACGTACGCACATGATGATTCAGACATCATCATGCACATATTACATATTTGTGTTGCGTGAGGGCAATCATGTATCACTATTATGTGATCCACAATGTCGCAGCCATCTGGAATGTCGTCACTTCCGGTATCCGGTGAAACATCGTTTTGATGTCTCCACGCCGCTGGAAGTTGTTCACGAAAAAGGCGTGATTGTCACACATTCTTGTTTTGCCTCCCCTATATTTCTCGCATATTCCAGGTTGAAATGTTTTATTATTTTTTTCGACCCACATACCAGATAAGCAACCCACGCGACTGAGAACGACAGGCTACAGAAAACGTCTGTAAACACAAACCTCAAATATATTTTTTGGGATGGCGTGTTATGGAACAACGTCTTTCTTTTCGTCTTGATTAAATCAAATATTACAGACGTATTATTTGATATATGTACTTCTATATTATTGTTATAGTATACGTTTCTCTTCGTCTTGGCTCAACTACCGGCATGCAGTGTATTTTCAACTGAATATGTAAACTGTAAAATGGTTAGCGTTTCATTTTTAAGTATTCAGAAAAAAAATTTTCTCAATGTCCAATATGTAGCAAGCGCAAAAAATCGACCAACTTCCGAAGAACAAGCCAACTGTCTCAAAATTTGCTTGGGACCGTTTTGCCCGGGTTAGGGCATGGGACCAGTTTGTCCGGGACCATTTTGACCGGGACCATTTTGTCCGGGACCATTTTGACCGGGACCATTTTGTCCGGGACCATTCTGTCCGGATCCCACGGGTCGCAGTGCAACACCGAGCCAGAGCGGTGAGTTGCGTGTCCAAATTTCGCCCTCGTTTCGAGAGACGGAATAGCAGCTCACTTTAGCCATTAAAACAATCATTCTTGCTCGCATGCTTTTTTTCTTTGTGTGTGTGTGTTTTTTAGTTAATTGATTTAAACTGCTTTATATTTACTGTGGAATCCATCTTCAGTGTTAATTTTGTTCATCACTCCTTATGCACTGAAAATGAAAATCTGTTGGCATCGCAAAAAAAAAAAATGTCGCAATGTTTCTTTTTTCTTTTTCGGGGGGAGGGGGGATGTTGCAGGGTAGAAACGTTTGGGAAGCACTGGTGACACTTATGTGTAAATAACGTGTAATCGAAAACCAATGTTTCAGTTGGCCATTTTATATTTAAAACAAAACTTCACAATAGAAAATAAAGTAGTTGGTTTTATGTGAAATAGGCCTATTGCTATATTACCCAAGCATCAAGGAGAATGCAGGGATTGGTGTTCCACGCGCCCCACACGCTTAAGCCTTCCGCGTATAAAAGATTCGAAGTAAATAACCAAAATAAAGCGTTAAAGAACGCGCATGCAAGATACAATTTGTTTTAGGTTTTTGTTTTAGAAAACTTACTATTGCTGAGGTTAGCGCGTGTGTCTTGTGGAACACCAATCCCTGCATTCTCCTTGATGCTTGGGTAATATAGCAAATGGTCTATTGTGTAATGTTTACGGACCGGTCAGGTTTTCGCATACCAGAATCCAGTGTCATGCCCAGAGGGGCCTATGACATCCATCCCAGCCATCTCAGCTCCCCCGAAAACAATGCTCGGGTACGCTGGTCCCGGAATCTACTTGTGCCTTGCACCAGTTGAATAGTAGAGGGGGAAATCACGTATCTATAATAAAACCCTCGGTGAAACGCAGCAAAAAAGAAAAAAAAAAGGCGGTGTGTTGTTTGAGTTAACTGTGTCAAAAAGGTGTAGATTTATCGAATACAACAGTTTAGCGGAAGCGAGTTGTGAGATGCACGTCGGCGTTCCGGGAGGGGGGTGCCTTTGATGTCCACGTGTCCTTGCCGGAAGTAGATGCTTTCAGAGATAAGGCGGCGACCGCCGGTTGCGATACAGTCTGACACGCTCGGACGATCGGGCTAACTGGCGCTCGGTGCGTCGGCGACGACGGCAATCAGAGCGACGCGACATGCATGACGTGATGGCGTGCCTTATCCCGGCCGGCACTTTGCTCCGTCGACATCCGATGATGTCCCCAGAACCCCTTCAATTTCATTCAGTAGAGTGGTTATAAGGGGGCTCATCATACTCTTACTTCGTGAGCTTGCCCGAAGCAAGGCGATTTAGCTTGCGAGAGTGTTAAATAGAAACAAAAAAACAGCAAATTGACAGTACTTTATGAAAGAAACGCACGAGGCACTTCGAACTTCTGCGCCAAGGAAGATATTTCCTTGGAGAAGACGTTGACATTGTCAAGTGGGTGGCGTGGCGGGCTTAGCGGGAATGGAGATTCGGAACGAACCTCCGAGTTGACACCCTTCCTCGTCCACGACTCTGCGCAGGGGACAAGGCGGTGACGCAGGCGGATCTCGGGGCCCGATTGGCGGTGTGATCCTGGCCGGGCGCTGCAGCCGGTGATGGGCCGGGGTCCGGAGAAGGCGGCATGGGCCCCGGATACCGCAGGGTCCGCCTCCTGGCACTCGCCCTGGTCTGCACGGGATTCCTCGTCACCCGCATCCACAGGACCCAGTCCGGCCACGATGGAGACTGGCCGCTCGTCGTGCAGGCCGGCCAGCAGACGCTTCAGGTGCCACTCTCACAGTCATTATGATATTTTTTTGGCAAAACCCATGCCTTTCACAACTTCCAAGTCTTCGTCCGCAATCCGCGTGCTTCAAGTTGAAGCCGCCATTGCTTCCTTTTCTGTGTTCCACTGAAGTGCCGAATCGTAAGTTGGATTACGTACTCGCACAAAAAAAAGTCAAATTGGACGTTTGAGTGATTTATACAGCGTAAGGTTGGTCTGCCAGTAGGGGAGACACTGGTTTACACTGCAGATGAGCAATTTTGCCAGTGCAGTACGACTGCTAACCTGGGGTCTTCAACGTGCTCACGCAGTAGCGGTACACGACCGCACGCCGGTACGATGCTCATCCAGATCGAAACGGGCAGGGGTGGGGCTCGAACCCAGGAACCCTGGGTTCTGCAGCGCGAGCTTTCGCTCCACGCGCGTCGAGCTGGGTGTGCGTTTCAGCCCACTCGGCCACCGAACCCCCCTCGTACTCGCACAAAGCCTGTTCTTGTGACAGGGTGATCACATGGTGGTGAAATTAAATAATTTATGATTGAATATTTTGTGTGGGTACCAACATCTTTAAAAGATTTACTTGCGTAGCATTAATGTTCTCCTTGCTCAATTACTTTGTCTTAATTGATGTTGAATATCCTTACTGAGGGATGCGGTCGAGTTCATGTACGGTTACCTAATTCAGACGAGAGCTAAGGATATATTACAAAGTAAATTTTCAGTGTCACACTCAGTGAACTCTCAAGCAATAACTTACTTCCAATTAGGACGTCCTTCGTAACAATAGGAATTTCGTAGCTCTTAAATTCTATTGCTCTTAATACACATAAAAAATACTCGGACCGACAATTTGTTGATTACATTTGCACACCGTGGTTTAACACAAAATGTGGTTTTAAATAGGGCAAAAACACAAACCTAGAAAAAAAAAAAGCCTGGCCACGCACGAAAACGCAGGAGTTTATCTTCTTGTTTCAATACAGCCTGCAAACTTCAGCACGTCTTGCTTCCAGGTCACCGTCCCACTCGAGTTGGCCCGGAGACCGACCCTGCCCCGTCCTGACCCCAAGTACCCTTTCCAGCACTACAACGCGAAGAGGCCCCCAAAGTTCAAGTTGACAGGTGACAGCGACGTCTCCGCCTACTTTAAGGACGTCTCGAACACGACCTGCTTCTCCCTCGGAACCGACTTCCCAAACACGTCGGGCGAAACTTGCACCTGCCTCAGGGGTTGGTCCGCCGCCGACTGCAGTCTCCCTGACTCCGTGAGTTCCTCGAAGCGCTTCAGGCGCCGATGGACAAATAAGAAGATACGGCGCCGCGCGAGACCCCCGCGTCGGGTCATCAACGCCCTCAACTTCAACCACGAGCTGGACTTGCTCGAAATCAGGCTGCACGAACTGTACGCTGTGGTGGATGTCTTCATCGTCTGCGAGTCCAACTACAGCGCTCTGGGTGAGACCAAGCCGCTTCGACTGCTGCCCCAACTCATGAAAGGGTTTCTTGCCGAATACCAGGACAAGATCATCCATATGGTGCTTGACCATTTTCCGGAAAAGGGCCGGGAGGATGGCTGGTACGCCGACGGCTACCAGAGGACATTCCTCTGGAAGCATGGTCGCAAGAGGATCTCCGGGCTACGCGATGACGACCTCTTTGTCCTGACGGACGCAGACGAGATACCGAGGGCCGGAGCTCTGGCGTTCCTCAAGACGCATGATGGTTACGGAGAACCCATGTTCCTCAGGCTTCGTTGGAGCCTCTACGGTTTCTTCTGGTTGCACGTCCAAGAACACGTGCAGGTTCTGTCCGTGTGCACGGTCCGCTTTCTGTCGAAGGTGCTCAAGGATGACGCGTCGCGGTTGAGGAGGGAAGAGATTCCGCCGGAAGCAGAAGACGTCTACGGTGGAGCGCTGGAGGAGTGGGTGTTAGGCCAGAATCCCGTGAGCAACGCTGGCTGGCACTGCTCCTGGTGTTTTGAAGCGGAGGGACTCCGCGTCAAGCTCAGATCCGCTCAGAAGGACGACGGAATCCGCTGGGGCGACTTTCCAGAGAAGAGAACGGACAGGTACCTAAGGGTCCTGGTGCAGCGGGGACTGTGGTTCGACGGAAAAAAAGTGACGAAACCTGGTGCTCTCTCGAGAGGCGTTACAGTGCCAGCTCACGTGATGGACAACCCAAAGTTTAACTATCTCCTCAAACCCGCGAACTCAACATCGTCATAGACGTAGTGCGGTGCACATTGTGTGTGTGTGTGTGTGTGTGTGTGTGTGTGTGTGTGTGTGTTTACATCATTACAGCAAAACGACATCCTGAAAGAACCGCGATTGTATCAGTATCTCCGGTGCCTGTGCATAAAACAACAGCTGCCTGTGAACGAAGTGTGCCGTTTTGTGCGACGTGCATAAAAACTGGTATGCAGTTTGCGGACTTGCCAAAAGCCTTGCTATATGAATGAACAGTTCTGGTAGAAACGTTCTGCCTTGCTCATTGTTTGTTACTCTTTTTACGGGTTCCGGCGGCAACGGTAAGTCTCGGTGATGCTTCTGGTATGTTTTAAAGAGGCAACTGACACGCGAAAGTTTTAGAGCAGAATGATTTCCTCTGTTTGGCAAATAAGAATAAACTTATATTGAACTTCTTCGTGTCATCATGTCATTTCGAAAGTTTCATAAGAAAGCGCGAAGATATGTACGCGACTTTTCACATGTTTATCAATGTTAACATTGCACGCCGCAACATGGCTGCAAGTTTTACGCCGCTTACCTGCACACATAACTGCATGCCAATGAATGAATTATCCGGTTGGGTGAAAGTGGCTGTATATTTTGGTCACACAGTATTCTAACATACGTTTCTAAGCGACGCAGCACTTCTTTATGATGTCCACAGTGCAATGGCTGGGGAGTAGAATAGTTTTTGCTCTGTCAAAGCTAAATGAGGATTGGAACCACTATTCTAACGAAACTACTAAATGATCATCATAATTACACTGTGGCGCTTATTTTCTGGGTTAATGTTGCTTCATGCTCGGATGACTGAATCGCTGAATGTCTTCTACGGACAAAACACACTCAAATGCTGAGAAAGAAAAAAAAAACTGACTGAAAGATCAGACAAGATGTCAGTACCCATTTACTTTGCAACCGACCGCTAAGGACTCAAACTGACAACGGGGGCGCAAGTTCAGCATAATTAACATGGGGTGTCTTCGAGCGCCAAACAAAATTCCTATAAATAAACCAATGAACGGGGCGCAACGTAACTTTTCACAGATCTGTCTTTATGTACTTGCATAAAACTTTTACATTATCATACTCAAAGAGAAACGATAAAAATCGTCTGACTGACATTGCTAATCACGGACATCGCAACATAAAGCTAAAATGTGAGAACTTCTCTCAAATGAACAGCCAAAAGCAGACTCAGCAGATCCGAGCGCGCGTGGTGCCATTTGTGAGTAACAGCGTCAACTAGACGGTTTTAAACACTTTCCTCCATGTGCATAGGAAAAAATCCAAGATTTTGTTTTAGGCTTACATTTTTTCCCGGAAAACCACACTCATGAAATTTTAGTATGAAAAATGCAGCTAAAGACATCTTGGTGAAAAGTTTTAATACACTCCCGTTCTTTGTTTTATTTATACAAACATGTTTCCGTATGAAGAATGTTCCGAAACACTCTGTATATAGTTACAAGTCGTATGGCTTGAACTCGTTTCTGTCTCGAAAAGCAACCAACCGCCTTATTTCCGCGAAGACCGTCAGGGGACGCACTTTCGGCGACGCTCTGCTCAAGACAACATGGACGGAAACATTCGAACGAAAGCATACACCCAAGCCCTCCTTCAAACAAAAATACCCGATGGACGAAAATTCACAATGACGGTGTCATTATGACGTCTGAATGGCATTCCAATGTTCTCAATTCGGCAAGAAATGGTGGAGGTCCCGCTCAACGGAGCGAAAAATAAACGTATATATTTAAACGCTCGGCCGAGAAATGAAAGCCTGCCACCGTCTAGCTCTCTCAAAGCGTAGGATTTAGCGAATGCACTTCCAAGTTTTAACGAACGGCGGAGCATTGACACAAAGACAAGGTTAGTTGCACAACTTAAAAAAAAATCGTGGTGACTTAAGCACTTCTTATGAGTTGTGAATGCGAAAGCATGCAAGCCGCTCGTCCACTCCCTTTTGCGTCTGCTGCGTACGTTTCGTCGCCGGTCGGCGCGTGTGCTCTCCTGGTGACCTTGGACGCTCCGCACTGATGGACACGCAGCGCCATGGGGTGAGCAGTCGTGGAAAGTGAGGAGCGCAGCGGCCAATGGGAGCCCCGTCGACGCGAGCCAGCCAATGGAACCGAAGGAAACTATCTGCCGTTTTCGCGCTTCAGATTGATGACGTCAGCTCGCTCCAAGAGACCAGTTAATGCTTTCGCACTAAAAGATATCGTTTAAGGTGAGCCACGTGTCAATGTCGCACGTGTCACTCATCGACTTTGTGCGTTTCTAATTGCCGGCTTAAACAATCACGCGCAGTGAATGCAACGAGATCGTGCGGTTTCTGAACGTATCGAGCTAAGGTTTTGTAAAAGAGGCGCCGAAGGACGTGCACTAAGGTTATAAAATCTTCCGTGAACTAACTTACCTGAGCAAAAAGTTAGAAATCAAAGACTACAGATCCCTACCTACGGCGTTCGTCTGCTAATGGAAAACGCCTGATTGGCGCAACAGCCGACAAATGGAGGCACGTCACAGAGGCGGCCACGACGATGTGTGTGCGCTTCCCTCGAATATATGGTGCCTGGAAAGCGTCTCCGATTGGTGTTTACTGCGTCCAAAAAGCTGGTCCCTCAAGGCTTTTTGGAACGCTATTTGTTGTTACTTCGGGACCAGTTTTGATGTATGGGCGTAACAGACCCCTTTCGAAAGTCACGTGCCGACCACTGAGGTCGGAACCACTGCACAATGGCGGAACAACTGATATCGTGGAACACGCAAGTCCTTCCATGAGATAGCGAACGTCGGAGTGCGGCGAAAGCTATGAGCCGACGAGCCGATCAAACAGCGTCGAAAGTGCAACGTCACTCCGCTCATCACCTTTTCCTGCTGAGTCTGTTTTACCGTCTAATTTGACCAAACGCATAAAGTATGCCGTGACGTTGCTATCTTAGTCCGCCATTGTACAGGGACTCCACAGCTGCCAACAGAAGGCAGTTTTTCGAAGATGCGTTCCAGGCATACCTCGACCTCGGCAATAGCAGACGACGCTTCTGAGCCAGAAGCGATGCACTCTTTTTCTGCGCGAATTCTCAGTGCATGATTATTTTATTCTACAAATAAAACATGCGAAAATCGAAATAAAACGAGAAAAAAACAAGACAGGCGTGTTGTCTCGTCTTTTTGAGATTTATTTACGGCTACATGTCGTCGTCTGCTTTGCACTCCCTGGTTGTCACCGCGTATCTTTTCTTGTCTGCAACTTTTATCCGTGCTGTCTTGAGGTGTAATCTTCGTGGTGCGCTTGGCTGCCAACGAGCGAGTGGATATTGCTCTCTGTTACGGGGAGGGCCAGCAGGACGCAAGAGGTCCGGCGACACTTTCGGGCAAAGCTGCGGCGGTGACCTCCGTTCTCTCCCTACAATTTTACACTAGGTGAGGGGCTTGAACGAGGAGAAAAACCTTCAAAATAAGTCGCCGACAACAGTGGTCGGTGCATTTGCCACCGACCCCCACCTTACAGTCACACCTGTCAACGCGGAGAGCACTGCCTCCATCTGTCGGCTGTTGCGCCAACCGGACACCTTTCGTTAGCAGACGGACGTCGTAGGTATTCCGAGTTTCTGATTTTTAACTTTTTACTCAAGTAAGTTTGTTAGTGAAATGTTTATAACCTTGATGCACGTTCTTTGGTCATCTTAATTGTACAAAATCTTAGCTCGATAAGTTCAGAAACCGATTTATGCGATATCTCCAGACAGCTATCGATTGTTTCAAGCTGTAAATGGGCTGCGGAACAATGTTGGGTAGGTACGTTTCTCACTTTACAAAGGCTTACTGGCACTAGTGGGACCGAAGAATACTCGAACGCAACGCCACTGACGGAGAATCGTCTTCGTCGCGTGGTGGAACTCCATGGGTAAGAGCGGACATTTTCTTTCAGTCTTTCCTTCGCAAAACTTGATGTCGGGGCTGTGAGGACAGCTCCGTTATCTGCCACTAATGCGATCCCCGAGAGTGCGTCCTTTTTTAAGTTTGGCGATCAATATCTAAACATTGGGGGAATATAATCGGCTCCAGATTACGTGGCCGCCTTTTCTCTGGGTGCGAGTTGGGGTAAACGGTGTTCGTTTTTCACGGATTTTTTTTTTTTTTTTTTTGGGGGGGGGGGGGGGGGGGGCATTGCTTAAAGAAACCAAGCAACGCGTTTTTCACATGACATAAATGTCAAAGAATAACTCACAGCTGTATTTTTTGAAAATAGAAAAATTGTTGCATCGTCCCCTGAAAAAGAGCCGCTATGGGGTGGATGCCCTTGCACTGTGAAGCTACCAATGATGCAGCGTTCGGGGCGAGCACTTCCCCGACCCCCAGAGGCCAAAGACTTACCGGGCACGGCTTGGCGACGTGTGCGCTTCTCCGAAACACAGATGTAACAGGACTGCGCATCAAAACACACATTTCCGTTCGAAAGAGTGTTGGGTGATACTGGAAGAGAAGAGGAGTCGCGCAGAAGTTAGCGTCAATCACGATCGAATTTTGATTGCTCACGTAAAGAGATCGGAACCAGAGACCGCTTACTATTGAAGTTCCTATGATAGAAGGCCCACTCCGTGCTTCCTGCTCCCACTCCCCATACACCACACAAAAGACACGGAGTTTCTCCGCGGACATGATAACAGAAATATCTGCGGACATGAGCGCCTCAAGCACGTTCGAATTAGGCGGGTTCGCTTCGTACATACGAATTAAGTGGGTTCGCTTCGTGCGTACGGATGCCGTTCGGCAGTCTGTAGACAGTTTTTGTATGGCCTACGCGACAAGACTGCCATACAGGGAGGAAACACTCCTCGTCTGCAGACTGGCTTTTGCATGATGCATTCGTAGTGCGACCGCGCGGCTCCCAACTACCTTCATTCTTTGAAGAGCCGACTGCGTGACGGTGCAGGTTTTTGGAAATGAATGGCGGCGCGCACAGCAAGCAGAACGCAAAGTCCCTCGATGCTTTCTTTTACGAGTAACGACAGCCAACGCGAATGACGAAGTGTTTCGGTTCATTCTACCGCTGTCCGCCGCGCCGTTCGCTTCCAAACAGCTGCGTCATCATGACAGTCGGAGCTTCGAGTGACGTCACTACTTGTTACCGCAGCCAACGGTACACGTCGCGTCAGGACGGTTCATCGTCTATGTGCGTTCTCTATCACCGGCTAAACCAATCGCGTACAGACAAAAGCGCGGCGTCACGGTTAATGTAGCAGGTGACGGGAAACGCGCAAAGACGACGATCGCCATGACGATCGATTTTTGCGCTGCTCAATTGGCTCTGTTGAAAAGTTATTGAGACAGCGTAAAAAAAAGACGATGGACCAGTGGAAGGAGAACACAGACATCGCCGATCGAGAGTGTGAAATGGGGTGTACTC